GGTTCAGGGATTTAGGGTTTAGGATTAAGAGTTTAGAGTTTAAGGTTTGGGGTTGAGGGTTTAGGGTTCAGGGATTAAGGTTTAGGGTTCAGGGTTTATAGGGTTTAGGGTTCAGGGTTCATAGGGTCTAGGGTTCAGGGCTTATAGGGTTGAGGGTTCAGGGAATAAGGTTTAGGGTTCAGGGCTTATAGGGTTTAGGGTTCAGGGTTCATAGGGTCTAGGGTTCAGGGTTTATAGGGTTGAGGGTTCAGGGAATAAGGTTTAGGGTTCAGGGTTTATAGGGCTTAGGGTTCAGGGATTAAGGTTTAGGGTTCCGGGATTAAGGTTTAGGGCTTAGAAGGGTTTGTTTTTGGGTTTAGGGTTTCGGGCGGTCTTGGAGTCTAGGGCTTAGGTAGAGGTGGGAGGGTTAGACTTTGGAGTTTATCTGGCTTCGGTTCATCTGTGGCGTTTAGGGTCCATTTGAGGGGTTTAGGCTGTCAGGCTTCGAGACTTAAGAAAGGTTTAGGGTTTAGGGTCAGTCTTGAGAGACTTGGGTGTAAGATCGAGCCAAGCAGTATGTGTCAACAGCACGGTTTAGGGCTTAGGGTGTAGAGTTCGGGGCAAGAGATTCCACATCTCATGAGAAGCAAGAAGTTTCTCGTCTCATGAGACACACGCGTCACAAGCGGATTAAATCTTGAGTGAGAACTGCCTTAACCCCAACTAACCTACCGATTTAAGGACTTATACAACAAAACATAATAAGGAGCCCTGAAAGGTTAGGTTCTTTAGGGCCCAGGTAATGAAACGACTTCTTACCTGACTTTGGCATGCAAGCCAGGAGGCCTCTGAAAGAGAGACTTTGCGGTTTAGAATGTTTACGGTTTGGAGTTTAAGTGTTCTGGAAGTTAGAGCTTAAGGATTTGAGGGTCATGCTGAGGTTTAAAGTTGAGGGTTCTGAGTGGAGCTGCCTATTGCAAGCTCTGGAATCAAGGAAATCACTAGTTTTGTGAATAGTGACCAGTGTGTGAGCTTGAGCATGAGAGGAAGTGTTTGCGAAAGTGTAGGCATGAAAAACCACCCCGACATGAAGTGTAAGAACAGTGTGAAAATGTGAGGTTGAGTGTGAGGGAGAAAATGTGAGCGAACGTGTGCGCGGGAGTTTGTCGCTCCCGCTCACAGTCCCACCCACACTCCGGGATCCCCCTCAAAAGGCCTCTCACACACTTCAGCTCACATTCAGAATCCCCGCTCACACTCATCCTCACACTGCCTCTCACACTCAACCTCACATTTCCCTTCACACTCAGAATCCCCGCTCACACTCCGGCTCACGCGCCCGCTCACACTTTTTGCTACAAAAGAACAGCAAAGAAGTGAGAGCGGGACCCCAGAGTGTGAGCAGGACCCCAGCGCAGCTCCCGGCCCCGCCCCCCTGCCCCCTGCCCGCTTCCCCTCTCACGCTTCCGCTCACACCCTCGCTCACACAAATGGGGGTTTCCGAAAATAGGGGACCCTAATATAGACCCTAAATAGTATGATCCTTATTATAAGGACCCCAAAATTAAGGCACCCCCTGTTTCCGGAAACTCCCAAATCGTACAGAAATAGCTAACTTTTTCAGACTATCCCGGAAGATGAGGGCTCTTGAGTTGAACTGCATGACGGGCCAGGGATGATGAAGTCAGCAGTCTCCACGAAGCTTGATGCATGGTCTTACTGCTTTAGGGTTTAGGGTGTAGGGTTTAGTTAAAGGAAACTACAGGTGTGGAGTTTTTGGTATATAGGCCTTCTATAAGGCTTCTATAAAGTATATAGGCCTTCTTTAAGGCTCCTATAACGGTAACTACCCACCTAAAAATGTCCTAGTTTTAGGGACCAGCTATAAGAACACAACGGTTTTCTGACTTCATCGTCGCTACAGCAAGACTTATGGACCTTGCCCTGATTGTAAAGCATCAAAGCCCATGATGACCCTATTAGGGTTCATGGGGGTTTAGGGTTTAGGGTTTCGGGTTTCTCATGTAAATTTTGCTGCAGAGCCCTGCCTCAAGAACATACTAAGACCTAACACTCTCTCGCTCTCTCTAACTCTACGTACGTGTGTCTATATACAGATGGACACGCATACACATGTATACATAGATAGGTATTATAAGCGGAAACCTGCAAACACATACAAACATATCCACATAGATGCATGCACACTTATATTCATAAGCAAGTGTGTAAGTATATACATACATATATATATATATGTATACACATACATGAATATACACGCAGATACTTACATACACATACATAGTCACACACACACACACACCCGCACACACACACACACACACACACCCGTCTGTCACTTTATTTCGTCTCGCTGTCTACCACTTCGATTGCTTGTAACAGAAGCTGTGCAGCTTTCAGCCATGGACTGGCCCAGCTAGGCTGGGGGCCGACGCGAGAAGGAAGCACTGCAGAACCAGGTCAATCGAATTGACTACCTTTGCCGTTTGAGTGTTTGGGTGCAAGATATGAGCATATTTGCTGAGTTCATAAGCCCCAAAAAGTGTACACTTTCAGTTCTATAAGGGATCATATAATCCCAAAAAAGTGTAAAGTGTACTCACTCAGCTACTAAGTGAGCATAAGGGTCCGAAGCTGGGTTTCGGGTTCAGGTTTGGAATCTGAGGGCTTATGACTCCTTGGCTTGGTTTAGGGTTTAGGGTTTAGGGTTTAGGGTTTAGGGTTTAGGGTTTAGGGTTTAGGCTTCGGCTGAGGGTTTTACAATCTGGGTGTAGAAGGTCGGAAGGCTTTGGTGCCCAGTGCCAGGCGCAAGCAAGATATTGCTCACTCCGAGACTTGCCAGAATCCAGTCGCGAAGCTCACAAGTTTACATGACGTAGGGCCGGCTTAAACTTTGAAAGACAAAGCTACAGATCCTAAAACTTGAAACCTTCCTCTATAAAAAACCCTAAACACAAACGTTTCCCACCATAAAAAAGCAGTCACACCCCATTCACGCTGCACGCTTCATTTGGGTAGTTCTCTAAATTAGGGTCCCTTTTTGGGTCCCCAATATGGTACGGCACCCTTATAATATGGACACTAAAAGGAACCCTATTTTAGAGAACTACCCATTTGCCCCAAACCCTAAAGCCTAAACCCTAAACCATTCAAGAGTCCATTTTCGAGGCCGTGAAGGCAGCGACGCTCAAGCCGCTTTCCCGCTCCCGCCAGAACACCGGACGGTCGGTACCTCGAATGCCAGGTTGGTTTAGGGTTTAGGGTTTAGGGTTTAGGGTTTAGGGTTTAGGGACACATAGGGTTCAAGGTAGAGGCCTTCAGAACTCGAATAGAGTTATGTGGTCTATGCTACTCCAGGTATGATAAGGAACCCCCAAAAACAGTATTGGCCATGATTCAAGCCCCGATGTCAGGGTTCATATCTTGATAAAGCCACGACCAAGATTAAACAGCAGACAAGGCTCTCTAAGCAGATGCCAAGCAAAAAACTTACGAGGAAAGAAGAGAAAGGAGAACGCATCACCAGCCACAAGCTCTGAACCACTACGTAAACTCGTACGTCAACCGATGTTTGACGTGTATCTACATGTAGTTGCCTTTATCATGATCTTGGACGCAGGGCCTAGTGTCAAGGCTTTGGGTAGACAACTGTAGAACTCAAAGGACATAATGCAGTATAGTATAACACACACACACACTCACACTCACACACACACAACATGACAAAAGCAACAGAACACATCAGGTAAGCACGAAAACAAACAAACAAACAAGCAAACAAGCAAACAAACAAGCAAACAATCAA